CTTTATAGTTTATTCACCATAATATCATCAAATATACATAGTAATATATCAATATAATATCATAAGCTGACTGACTGTCTTCGTTCAGAATCTTTTTTCTTATACAATGATATTATAACATTGAATTCAAATTTAACACCATCAATTACAGTGATCCACTTGTAACCTACTGTACAGCAAAGGGACACCCACTTTCCCACCTTTTTATCCCTTATTTTTTGTATCTCTGTACAGTGTAAGCACGATAAGTACCTAGCCGAAATAATGCTTCGACAACTTCAGTATCTTGTTCGAAGGGAAAGTGAATCTAGTTGGTGCATTGGGAATTCAACATTTCGCAGAAGTTTTCAAAAGCGTAGGAAAGACAAAAAAAGAATAAGAAAAACCACAAATATTAAAGCAAAATCGGTTTTCGGCAAAATTGATTTTGTTTTTTGTTAAAATTCTAAAACAAAAAATTTTATTCAGTGGGTTAAATGCTTGAACATTTAATACAAGGCTCTACACAGATTGATACAACATCAGCTTGAAAATGTTAAAATACATTGACAAGATTTTTTATGTAAGCTTTTAAAGTTTAAATGTTGACATAATTACTCAATACTCAAATTGAAAATTTACAAATTATTATGTTGTTAAAAATATATAATATATTCAACTTTTATAGCTAAAGATTTAAAATATAAAACAAGATTGCTCGTAAGTAGTTGATTCTGTAACCAAAAAATAACGATTTTAGTTATTTTTTTTGTAATTTTATAAAATTAATTCAACTTACCGGCTACTGTACCTATTAATAATAATTAATAACAATTAACAATATAATTTACAGTAGGTATCTAATATTATAAAATATCCTGGACTAACAAACCGTCTACGCTCAAAATCATTTTTCGTATATAATATGATATTATTTTATTGAATTAAAATTTAAAACCACCCATTAGATACAGAGATTCACTTGTAACCTACTGTACAGCAGAGCCAGAGCGACATCCACCTGCCCGCTTTTTTTGAATTATTCTTAATCCAATATTATATTATATTATCTGTTTCATTAGCGTTAAACTACAATCATTCTTTCATTAGTATACTACAGTATTATACTTATTTATACTTGAGATATTGAGCAAGTTTACGGTCAACCTCATCGGTTGGTTTTAGTTTGCATTATTTATACCAAGGGTGGTGCTTGTGCGGTGTGCGAAGTTATACCCTAAAGTATGTGTACTGACGGCAAACTATATACCAAGTGTTAATTATATAGATAGAAATGGTGGAATGTAGTGTGTACAGTGTACTCGCGATGTTTCAAAGGACACCGATTACAAATTGAATTGTTTTTGGTGAGGGTGCAGCATGTCGAGGATCCAGAAATACTTTAGGAGGATGAGAGATGCATAAAATCAATAAACTTAAATCTAGGGATTTATTTTTATTGCAGTTGTTCTGTTTTAAAACAAAGTACTAATAACTTATAATTTATAATTGAAAAGCAATTTACAGAGGACACCTATATCAAAAAATCGAGGACAAATCGGGAACCGATCAACAAGCAGTTAGTATGCATTAGTGCACGTCATGTGGATAACTGGAGCATTAACTATAGCATTACCTATAGTTGAAAAGCTTGAAACAAAATAAAAAGGTTATTTGTTTATCAACTTTTTGACCTAGCCTGGTAGTTAATTAATTAATTTAGAATGTTACCTTATATCAAGTAAGAGTAGAGTAGTAGACGGTGTACAGTGTAGGTACCTACTCATACGGTGGCTCAATCAAAAAAATTATGAGCTTTCACCACTATTGTTCAACTTCAACAATCAACATAGCCTTAGAGAAAGTAATTTCTCTGCTCAAAGCTGAAAGAGCCTTCTTTGCACTGATTAAATATTTCGAATCAAAACTTTTCTTTAGAAGCACAAAAATATGCCTACATGTCTATTATAAGACCAACATTAACCTATGGTTGTGAACTTTGGCCGATGGCACTGACAGAGTAAACTGAACGGAAAACTAGAAGTTTTGAGAACAAAGTGCGCTAAAAAAAGTATGTGGCTCACTGGCTCAGTCTTTGACAATACAATAAATGGATGGCGAAGAAGGAAAAACGAGGAAATAACCTAAGTAGGTAGGTACCTTATATAACAAGTCACGTAAAGGGAGAAAGAATCCAGGGACTTAGACACACGATGAGAAGATAAAAATGGAGATAGGGCGGCAATTGAGTACAAACCAACATGAAGAAAACCCAGAGGTAGGTCTAAGAAACGATAGATGGGCGGAGTGCGTCAAAATACGGAGACTAGGGGCAATGGAAGTCGGAATGGGAGGAAAAAATCTAGGATCGTGAATATTGGAAAAGGGAGGTCGGTGACTGTAGAGGATAAAACCTTTACAGAGGTGTAAGGTGAGTAAAGGTTAAAGGTTAAAGATATAGTTAAGTAAAAGAAATTACGTGTCAACTAAAATAAATATTTAGAAGTTCTATGGAGTGATCCGGGTAGAGTGAAATAATTTGAACACTACCTGATTTTAACCCCAAATGGTACACTTCGAACATTTTTGAATAAGTTAGTTAGGTAAGGAGTGCAGTTCGAAAATGTACTAACCTATAGGTAGTATAGCAGTACTAAGAACATTTCTATCATGTTACTACAATTTCAAATATGAAAGTGCTTTTTCTGCATATTTCAGTGTTTTTTCTTTAAATGCTGATTACTAATTTTTCTGTATATTTTTTACATTGAGGCAATGTGACAAATAGGCACTGTTGAAAACTAATTAGTTGTTGTATGTAATTTACTGAACATAGGCGTCAGGCACTTATTATATTAGAAGAATGTGGTGGTCATTGAGCCGGCTTTTCTTTATTTTTTGAAACGAAGTTTTTTATGGCGCGATGCGGGACTAGTCGGGAAAAAACTTTCCTCACGATATACTATTTTTTATAATATATTACACAGTTATTTTAGCCAAAACATCCAATTTTTATTCCATCATACTGATCGATCTAGTAATACTTTTTAAAACAGATTTGAATTTGGTATTATGTCTACTTGAGATTGGCCAGTCCAATTTTCCCAATTTCACCCCCAACCTCTAAAAATTTAGCCTAAATATTTTGAAATATCAGAATTTTCAAACGTTGAATATTTTGGATATATTCGGAATTTAAAACAGACATCTTAAAATGTGGACTGACCGATCTCTAAAAGAAATTCTAAAGAATTCAGATCAGTTTTCAGAAATATTATCGTATTATTAGATGGATTGGTAGGATGGAACAAAAAAAAAACGGTAGCGGTAAGTTGTAGTGACGGTCCGCGATTGATTATAATTTAGTTTATAAATATCTTGTGTATATTGATAATATAATAAAATTATTAATAATAAATCACTAAACTACGTATACTATGTATTTATAATTATTATAATTAATAAAATATATAAGTAATAACTAATAACTAATAAGTATATACATAATATATTAATATATTCAATAAAAATTTAATTGTACGTAATATATTTTTGTCACGCCTGCACCGAAAATTTGGTTATAAGATCTGCATATTATGCATTTATAATTATTAAAATGTATCAATTATAAGAATTTGGTGACTTTAACATCAATTTTAATGATGAGAAATAGGAAACTTTTAAAACTTTCCTTATGAACACATTCAATTTACATATGATAAACAATCCGGCAGAATCTACATTGTCCGATAAAATATTGTCGAAGTGGTCCGTGGTGGTAAAAAGGTTGGGAAACACTGATCTACAACGAGAGATGACACCACTATAGATGCAGTATTTTCAAGATATTTGGAAAAAATTACATCACAAACTTACGTATCATATTTCAGTCAACACAAGCCTGTAACTTAGATTATTGAATATGATTAATATAATAGTAATTAAATAGTCATAATAATCATTTTCATTTTCATTTATTTTTCACATTTACTTATTAATATTTACTTTTATTTTGAATGGTTCCACAAAAATGTATTTGTAATCTATAATATAAAATATTTGTTGGAAAAGAAACTTTGTTTCTACCGGATGTCCCAGACAGCACTCACTTTTTCAGAGTTTGATGGTTACCGTTTCTGAGATTGCTTTGTTTGCTTATTTTAGTGCTTATAATTAAGTTTTTATATGCTTTTTTTATAATTGTAGATTTCCAGGATTAATAATTCAATTATTATCCATGGTTAATACTTAATATTGTTTAACCCTTTCACTGATCCGGGCGTACTATTGTCTATTACATACAAAATATTTAGATTATTCACTGCTCCAGATGTACTAATTACGTTCCTGTATTTTATAATTTTATCAGTTGCCATAAACCATATGATTTAGGAAACCCTGGTTTGAATTATTTTAGACTTAAAAAATTAGATTGTAAATTATAGATGATATAGATTTCAAAACTAATATTAAAAAAATATTTAGTTTTACGTAGCTTACACATGTTTCAAAGCATAAATAGTGTAGCAGTAAAAAGGTTAATGTTTATTAAAAATTATCAATTTTAAATTATAATTGCTATCCTTTTAAACTTAATCATCCAATAGACATTAATAATAGTTTTTTTGTCCAACACTGGCTACCATTCAGATGATTGTAATATCACTTACTGAATTAAAGTGGTGTTATAACCATAGATATTATTAGAAGTAATATTATGAATTGTTATAGAAATAAAACAAATATATAACAAAAATCATATATCATTTAATTTGAAATCTGTTTAAAATGATTGTCTTAATACTAATGCAAAAATGACGAAACAATTTGTTTATATTTTTTTGCTGGTTCTGTCAATAAATAAATATATTATGCACACATATAAATATATATATAGTAATAATTCGCACTGCACTTTAAAAATTTACAGTTTAATAAAATTATGTAATGCTTAGAAAATGTTTAGTGGCGTTAAAAAAATAATTTACTGTATTCTGTACACTATAGTAATGCTCATGTCATCATGATTCATTGTTCCATATGTCGTGCTTTTGTTGAGCATCTCGAATTTTTTTCTCTAAAACAATAATAAACAGATCAAAATGTATTGGCAAAAATAAATAATCAATTAAAATTACCTTTAGCATTTGCCAACAATGTACGTTCAGCATTTATAAGATCTGGTGATACATTCATCTTTAGTCCTAAAGCACTACTCACTAGTCGTCTAGCCATTGCAGTACAAGTTTTAGGCCTAGTTGCTGGGAGAGCAACAACTGTAGCCGCTCTGAGCTTTGACTCTTTGGTAGCATTCTTAAGAGGCCTGGTTTTCACAAGAACTAATGGTGTGTTTAATGCTTGATCAGCTATTTAAAATATTACAATAATTTATAAATACAAAAATATTAACCTTAAAATAAATTATTTTATATTTACCTAAATGGGGACTTTCAAATACTGCTAATGCATGAGTATCATCCACCCAAATAATTTCAAAATGTTTTTTACGAAATGCAGCAAATTGATTCATTAGATCAATTGTTTTCAGTTCAGATGAAAAACCATACACCTCAATAACACACTCACCATCACCTGAACGTTCTTCAATTGTTTGATAACTACGGTAATCTTCTTTTGCACATTGTACTTGAACCTTTCCTATTGTAGAAACTAACTAAAATAAGAAAATATATAAATATTTAAGTACAAGAAACGTAAGTTATAATTATAAATATTTAATAAACCAAGAATATATTTTTTAAAAAACTCACTGAAACAATAAACCCATTTAGAAGTTAATTCCTAAGTTTCACACAATTTAAAATTTAAATAAACCAAATTTTTAAACGTCGCATGCGCATGCACTTGCATCTGTCTTCCAAACGCACAATATACCAAATTGAAAGCTCAACACATCATGTTTAGCTCTATTAGCTTAAAAATTAGAGTGAATTTACTTCTTATAAAATTTAAATATAAGATTCTAGTGAACCTCATAGGTTTTTATTAGATATTAATTTTAAAGCAAATTACGAGTATTTTTAAAATTTACAAACAATTTACAATTTTAAAATACTCATAACTTGCTTTACAATTAAAATATAGAATAACCTTCAAGAGTTTCAATAGTTAATATTCTTATTTCTTACTTCTAAATTGTATAATATTTAATTCACTCTAGTTTTTAAGCTAACAGTGCTAAACTTAATCTGCCAATAGTACATTTTGCTATATTATGAGTTAGTAAAACAGAGAGAATGCATGCAGGTGTAGCACCCCTTTTAACATAAAATCGTGAACTTTTTATGATTATTTTTCAGCTTAACTACTGACATTATACCTTCAAAAAATAAAATAACTTACTTCTTTCATAAGCAATGGATGTATATAATCATCATCTTTATCATACATATCTTCCCAACTACATTCATCTACATCTAAAATCTTTTTCTTTTTTTTTTTCTTTTCTTTTTTCTTTTCATTAATTTCAAGAATTTCTAAAGAGTTATTAATTAACACTGGACTTTGATTGTCAGTCAACTCTTCATTTAAGTTTTTAGAATAATTTTCGTCGACATCTGTCAATGGCCCGCTTGTGAAACTATCATCCAAACAATAATGAGGACAGTTTGTATTGTGTTCTTCTCTTAAAGCTATTTCAAGCTCACTAGAATGAACCACTTCATTTCCTTTAGGCAATTCATCTAGTTGATTATTAGACATATCTGATATGTTATCGTCAGCTAAGACTGAATCAATTGATTTAGTAGTTTTCTGAGGTAATATTGCATCGTCAGTTGTAATTTTATCGTTAACATCTGATATTTGAAGATCAGGTAAATTAACTAATGTAGAATTTTGAATACTTATACAATCGACATTTGCACTTTTTGTTAAAACACTATCACAGTTGTTAATTGTAGTATGAGACTCTAATTCATTATCTTCCATGTTGGGATTTCTAATGTTAGTTATTTGATTTGTTATAGATGAATTTGAATTACATTCATTTATATCTACAGAATCTGGAACAATACTAGAAGATAAAGAATCTGATAACTGAGATGAAACATTGTAATATGAAGTTGTAAATTCATTATTAACATCATTAATAAACATTTCATTTGATAAGTCTACAAATTTATATGAATCTAAAGATGCTAATACAATATTATTGTGTTGGCCACGATTCAATAGTGATATTGAACCTTTAATATCTTTTGAATATAACGTGTTTCTTGAATCATCTTGAACTCTACAATTAGCATTAAGTTTATTTGATGGAGTTGAATCTGAACTATTATTTGTACTGGTAGTATTGGAAACCGTTTTATTGGCTAATCCCCTAAGTGCTTTGGGTATATAAATAGGAATATCTGGCCTTTTAGATTGTTTGCGCTGACGGGATCTACAAAAATGTACACAATAATTTAAAATATAAACTAGAAGTTAATAGTAAAATAATTAATGAACTTGACATTACCTTGTACCTGGATCTAATGCTTTAGGCTTAAGTGACTGAAATAATCGTTCTTGGGCCTTCCTTTCGTTAGGGGTTCTATATGCTCGATGTATACTAGAATTATTTCCATCATGCATTTCAGCAACATCCAGTTCTGTTTCACAAAACCTATTAAACAAATTTGTTATCAGTTATCACATTTTAAAATATTTGTTTGACAGTATATAAACTATTAGAGCTCTTTCAGGTTTACAAATAATAATAAATAGAAATGTATTTTAATATTTCTACATTAGTTAGGCATATGCATACAAACTAATAACATTGCCTACTTAATTTTATTTTGCTTGAATAAAGTGCTAAATATATAATTTACCATAAAATTATATAATCTATACAAAAGTAATATAAGTAACCAGACGACTGTCATATTTAATAAAAATGAAATAATATATTTTAGATTAACAAACTATTAATTTCCAAATGTCAACCATAATCATATTTTTGATTTATTACAAAATTATTCTAACCAAGTTAACTGCTTAATTATTACAATAATTAGGGATGGATTTTTAATCTATTTTTTCACTATTCTACTCTTACAATCTTAAATTTAAATATTACGATTAATAAAAGATTAGATTAATATAACCACATTAGCAAGTTTCTTAAAAAAATGTTATTTATAATATTTATAAATTACATAATTATATGGAAATTAAGAATTTAGGTATTTAAAACTTGTTAAAACTTTTTTAAATATTAAAAATAACACAGTTTTCACAATTACCTTTAAGATTATAATTTACTGAAATAACTTTAATAGCGGCTGTCGCCTGTCACAGTTACTAACGTTTGAGTGTACTAACGTACATTACTCAATTGAATATGGCACTTAATTAATTCTTTGTCTAGGGCCAGTACTATGCTAACTCTCATTGGTGCTCCAGGGCCATAATATTTGGCGCCCTAAATAAACTTACATATTTAAATATTTTCCACACTTTAAAATGTTACAAGTTTGGCCGCCCTAGGGCACTTGCTTCATTTGCCACCCCCTTAGCACGGCTCTGTCTAGCGCATAATATCTAAGATTGTTTTAGTGCAGAAAAACTGACCTACAGACTACAATATTATTCCACCAGTATCAAGTGCAAGTAATTTCTTTTTAAGTTTTAAAATTCTAGCTTGAAACAAAAATTAAAAATAAAACATTAAATTGTTGGGGGATATCTAATTTTAACATTTAAACTATAGTGAAAATAACATAAAAGAGCCTAAATGAATTTATTGTAAAATAGTTGACTAAGATTAAATTTGCACTAGGTACTTTTTTGCAACTTTTTTCATCTTAGCCTTTGATAATATTATTAATGAAAGTTAGAATCAAATAAAAATTGTTATATAATCAGTCTAATTAGCAAACAAGTATTTTTTAAATATCTTAAGACTATGAATGACCCATAAAATTCATGTAAAACTAAGGATCTAGAATTGAAATGTTTCAACATTTGGTTTATAATATATTAGTACATTTACTAGTACTTACATAGTTTATTATAAGATGTTTAGAGCAACGGACCTAGTTAACCGGTAGCTTCTTGTGACCTTTTTCAACTTTTATCTTATCTTTAAGTAAATGGTGTACCTTGCACTTACACAGTGGCGTGGCGACAAGACTTTTATGTAGGGGCGAATACATTTTTTTGATACCCAGTTATAGGTTTATAGGTACCCAATTATATATATATTTTGTTCATAGTGTTCTTACTGTTCTTAGTGTTCATACCTATTCAATATCACCATTGGGTGACCTACCCACCTACCCACCCTTGAATTTTACTAGGGGCGGTTGCCCCAAAAAATAGCCTTCGCAACGCCACTGCACTTACATAATTATATAAAAATGTTGTCCTAAACAACCATAAACAAACCCCATAATGTTTATACCTAATTATAATTACTTAAATTAATTTTTTATCAATTTTTTTAAAACCTTTACTCATTTAGAAACAACAAACGTCATTCTTCAAAAATTGAAAGTATACTTAACACATAAATTAACTAATGACAAACATTCTACTTAAATAGGTTATCATGTTGAAAATGTAAGTAAGTACCTAGGTACTAATAGCATTTTCAATTTAATTTTTCAACTTACATTGGTTTTAGTGAAGAATGATAAATGACTATGCGTCTTCCGTGGCTGCTACCAATAGATACGGTATTCAATTCCTTGAAGAATTTTTGCACCAGGGTATGCACTAAAAAACGATTACGTGCACTTAATGGAGGGAAAATAAGTACCACATTTCTGAAACACAAGCAAAAAAACAATGAATAAAAAAAAGTTGTCACTGGAGTATAACAATTAAGTTTCCAAGGCAAACGGATTTATGCAGTTACCAACATTTTCTTTTCTAAAATAAAAGTGTTGATGTAACGGTTGACGTCGGCCAAGGCTATCTCCAAAAACGAACATTCACCTACTCGCAGGTTTAATGTGTCTAACGACTCCATAGGCACATCGACGGCGGAACACGAAAGGATATTTTGAGCATTTGAAAAAACAAAAATTAACTATAACATAATGTTGAACATAAGCATGGCGGATTAGCGAGTTTTTACTTGGGGAGTGAGAAATGTTCAAGTTGAACGGCTTAAAAGTATAATCGACATTTATTTTAATATTATTGCGCTTTATGAGAGAGTAATTTATTAGCGATAAAACATAGCACACAGGGTCGTAGTGTCGTAAAGAAAATAAAACTATTAACGTTGTTTTTTCTACGTTTCCATTATCCAAACAAAAACTTCAACTTTTAAAGCCTTGATAAGGCAGTTATCAAACATATGGCTGGCTGGTGACCTTTCAAGCGACCTCTCCGACGAATAACCCATAGAGTTTTATTTCTCTATATATACATATATATATATATTAATATATATAAATAGTTAATAGTTATATTTTCTGTACTATTAGTTATTAATTACTAATCTGTAATATATATATATATTACTCTCAGGAATAACCACGATTTAAGATGCACTAGATAATATATTTTAAATCTCTAGGAAAGATATACTCACTGTCTGATATTACTGAGTATATCTTAAATTGTGGGAATAACCATAGAGGCATAGAACAATATTAACTAATCTACAGGGCGTAGAAAGAGAAATTAGGGGTACGATATAAGAGTGAGCGAGAAAAAAAACAAAGTAATAAAATTCCTTATGCGGGCTCCTTCACTATAATATTATGTTCTTTGTCTCCCAAGTCCCAGTTAAATGGTTATATGATCGCATATCATTGTTGGCATGGCGGAGTGGAATGCGCTGTCCATTAGTTTTAGGTCTATGCGAATAACAGAACACGTCATCGTGTTATAAAAATATGTGTAAAATAATAATACCTAGGTTATAACTTGTATAAAAATAAATTTATAATAATAGCATTGATTACAATTTATAAATAGAGTTATAATATTTTATTATGGTGTCATGAGTATAAATATAATATACTATATATTATTATATATTCATAAGTTATAACTTATAAGTTATAACCAATGATAATGCTTAAATAATTATTGTTTATAGCATGGTTAAAAATATGAAATCTAGAACACACAATAAGGAGACCAAAGTAATGCGGCGTTCCCACGAGGCGTTAATCACGACAGTCAACCACGCTTTCGGCCCCACGACTGGGTCGTGGTAGAATCAAACATGTTTGATTTTCAGTCGTGAGATACGAACGAAGGTGTCGTGGCGTGGATCACTCCCTAAATTCACGCCTCGTGGGAACGCCGCATAAGGATTAAGGACAGGAATTTAGAATAAGGAGACCATATTACCATAACTCATAACTCATAACCAAACTCCGCTTCAGATAACATCCCGAAATGTGTCGCACACTCGCACGATTAAGGTCTTAAACGGCCACGGGCTGCGCTGCGTACGCTAGGATTGTTCTATGCCAGTAATTTGCTACTTTAACCCGTTTAATATAGGAATTATTTATGGTTTTTGAGGTTTTTGGAAAATATATGCATTATTTTGAGCCAAGACCCTTTTAAGATTTCATAGCTTGTACGATTACGCATTTTCACATGTGCATAAGTGTATATTTCATAAACATATACATTTATCGGTATACACTATACAACGATCGCTCAAGAAAACAATTAATATGTGTGGTGTACTGAATAGTATCGGGCTTAGACAAAGATATATAGGTATACAAATATTAAATAACCAGATATTAGATAGTATAGTGGATTGTATAATTTAATTATTTATCCAAAAATAAAAATAATTTTTATGAAATATACATTATACACATAATATGCATATTTATTGGAAATTGAATACAAGGCTCCTCATAAGTTGTTATACCTATTAGCAGTTCAATAATATTAAAGATACATACTCATGATTTTTTTAATAAGCATTTATAGTTTACATTTTTACAAAATTAATCAAAGTCGAGAAAACTTGCAAATGTTTGTTGTTAAACATCTGTAAAATGTTCAATATTTATAGCTAAGGATTGAAAATTGAAAACAAGGTTTCACATATAAGGTAGTTAATTCTGTAATTAAAATAATATATAAAAAAATGTATTAACATTGATATGAAACTTGCAAAGTTTAATGAAATAAAAAAGTTACCTACGTACTTACTCACATATTATTATTAAACTATATTCAACTATCAATAAGAGAACTTCTACAAAAAAAAGGTATTTAACAGGTGGAACCAAATTCATAAAAGTATATTTATATTATTCCATATTCGTGAAATTATTGAGAACAAGTCTATTGTTAAGATACTCATATCCACTTTTACATAAAGCAGTCACTTCATACAATAGCTATTATCACCACCACCAAGTGGGGCTAAAAACTGTATTTAGCTGGTTTATTTTAAAATTGTAGTTATTTAAACCGCATGTATGATATACTTATTATTACCAGTTTATAAAAAACTAAGATTGTCATATTTATTATGATAGTTAGAGGTATATAATATTTTTTTTGGCAGTGTAGGTGGGTACTAGGTATAATAATCTTTTTTTAATTCAATTGGTTTTATGTATTTTTTTATAGGTGATTAAACATTCAAATTTACTGTAAACAGAAATCATAAATGCAAATAAATACAATTACTCAATAGGTAAATTTAATTTATTTTTTTTTTTTTTTTATTGTCACAAAGAAAAATATAGACAGTTTTGTTTTCATATAAGAACAAAATAACTTTAAGAATAAGTATTTTAAATTATTATTTTATTATTTGAAATAATATATAGATAGAATATTAAAAAGATCTAATAAATTGTATTTAATATTTTTATCAATAACATTTTAGTTGAGTATGACATAGAATATTAAGATTTGAATTTAAACCAATTTTTATGCCAAAAATATATATACAAATTAAATGTTTATTTTTTAATTAAAAATATTACTATCATGTCCAAAATAAAATACTGAAAGCCATTGCAATGCAACAAAATGATACATATGGACTTTTCCGTTCTCCGATTCTTGCTAACTTCCAAAACGTTCCCAATGGTCTAAAAAATAAAAATGTACAGATCAATATTATTATAAAATATAAATCTTAAATTTAATTATATGGTTGAAAGGCTTAATAGCATTCCGTAAAATGTTTTTTATATCTTTATTTGGGTGGCTATTTGTTCCAGATTTTCTAGGGAGTTAGTGATTTAGGAACTCATATCTCAATGTTCCTTAAGTATTTAAAGATAAATTTTTCAATTTGTAGATAATGTTAGATTACAAAATAAAATATAGTTTTTTGTACACAATTTATTTGTTGAAACTCAAAGTACTATTGGGGCTCTACATGAACTTATAGTAGTTCCTGTAAGAGACTAATAATAATGTATTATAACGCAACAAAGGTGAAGTACATTAAACAATAAACACTTTATTGATTTAAGTGAACACAACACAACACATAATATAATATAATATTTATCATCATTAAAAAAATGTAATTTTACATTTTTAAATGAATCTTAAAAATTCTTTATATTGGTACTGGAAGCTATTTTAATATTATAAATTATATTATATTATTATACACAGAATGATTTACCAAGCATGCTAACCCCATTTTTTTCTTTAATAATGCAGTTATTCATAAATATGATTTTTAGAATATACTACTTAACTACTTAAATACCATATTTTCAAATTCTTAAAATTGTTTGTATCACTTAAGAGGACATTACACCCACATGCATTGTCACCGTCTTACAAATGTACAACATAGCAAAAACCGTTTTGTGCAGGATAACTATGCTCCCTCTGTATTTATAGTAGAATTATCTAAGTTCCACAACACATAAGGAAAAACTTTACCTGTGAAGTGGCATTTTTGTTTTTTGATAGCATACTTACCAATAATTTTAAATAATTAATTGAAAAAAAAGAAAAAAAACTTAATGTTCTCAAACTAATAACTTTAACTATATTTATGTTATCCAAATAATAAAAATGGTATGACACATAATATAGTGGTTCCCTATGTGTCGTGGAATTTTGGTAATTCTACTATATATACAGAGGCAGCATACTTGTCCAAAACAGTTTTTGCTATGTTGTGCATTTGAAAGACGGAGACAATGCATGCGGGTGTAGCGTCGACTAAGGAGAGTCCTGAGGCGTTACAAACATCTGTTTTTGAAATGAGAACCCCCTTTTTTACGGTAAAATATTTAATGGACATTTTTTTCGAAAGTTTTGGTGTACCTAATTCAAAATTCAGATGATTAGTTTCTCAGTTATAAAAATGTTTATTTTAAGGATAATTGTCCTTAAAAGTGGTCTTACAAAAGTTTAAAATAGATGTAATACTTATTGAATCTAGCATTTATTTTACTTGGACTATTTTTACAAATCATTAATTATTATTAATTTGTTATTACTAATCACCAACCTTTTTAAATCATCATAGCCCCATAAACCTATACTTATAAAGTCTATCCATATCCACCATATATTCCAAACCTATTATCCTTAAGTACACAAAGTTAAACAACACTAAAACTACCTATTGAATTTTGATTATGATATGTCAACATTTTCAGAAAAAAATATCTGGTAAATAAATTACATTTGAAAAGGTTCTCATTTGAAAAACAGATGTTTGAGTCACCATAAGATACTCTCTAAACAATAAGTACTACAAAAAAATTTGAGAATAAAAAAAAAAATGATCTAACTATAATTAAAAATTTTCAAAAATCGGAGTTTGAATTATTTCCCTTTTTAAAAGAAAAACTTGCGGTATAGTTTGTAAAAGTATTCAACACACTATAACAATGAACAAAAATTTAAACAAAATGTTTTGAATTAATAATATTTATTTATCTTACCCAACTTTATTCCTATCGATAATACTTGGTAATAACTGTCGTAAATAAGTGCATGTACAAATAGACAACAATAAAATTGTCAAAAGACTTTGTAAATTGAATATTGCCAACTGAAATAAAAACATTGATTATTAATTACAACAAATTAAAATAATTACCTACACAGAATAAATGTATTTAAGAATATATTGTAAAGACATTTTACCATGATTACAGCTTTGAATTATTTAATAAGTATCAAAACTTAAGCTAAAACTATAATTAGAGAAAATAACTCTCATTAAATACAATTTTAATTAAACTTCTAAAACTAAACTTCGTCACTCATCAACAACGAACCAATATTGTTATGAATTGATGAGTTGTATCAGCATGGCTATAAAAAAAAATAGTATAGTGGTCGTATTGTCTGTTCTGTTGTCACGTCTTATCGTATGGTTTATTGAATATTGATACGTTACATTGATAAGAAAATTACACATTATCACGATTTTAGATAGTACTATCATAGAATAAAAAATAAAATGTATTCTGTGATAATACACTAATATACATTACAGCATTATCCCATGTATAATATTTCAGAATGCTGAATGGGTACTTCGTAATCTAATAGAGTCTAATAGAATCTATCTAAAGCCGTGCTTCGTAGTTTGTACTTTGTACCACGTACACAATAGCGTTTTAAGGACACTTCATTTGGGGGGGAGGAAATTTAGCACTAAAAAAGGGCTATGTTAGGATCTATAAAGTGAATCTAGACATCTAGCTGATGCATTCAGGAGGTCAAAATTTGAAATTCTCATTAGTTTTCAAAAGCGCAGGGGAAAACAAAATAAATATTAAGGAAAAACTGTAATTCTTAAGCAAAATATCGGTTTTTGACAAAATCGATTTTTGTTTTTGGTGTAGGTAGACAGGTAGCTATAAAACAAATAACTGTAGATACCTGAAATGTTCACTGAATGTTTATATTATTATTTTCTATTCAAGATAAAATTTTCAAAATATTTCTACTTGTTTTGAGAGGGTTACGGATATTTTCAGTTTCCAATTTTTTTTTTTATAAATGTAAATTTTATTTGTTGGGTTAAAAAAAATTTAAAATTCAATACAAGGCTCCTAATATATTTTTACAATGATAGTTGAAAAAAATTTAAAATATAGTCACAATTTTTTTTATAATCATATAAAGTTAGAATTTTCCCAAAATACGTAAAAATCAAGAAAATTTGTAAATTATTTTGAGTTAGAAATTCTTAGAAATTTTTATTTTTTAATCTAAGGTTTGGAAATTGAATACAAGAATCCTATTTAGTTTGTCTAACTTTAGCAAACAAAAAATATATACCGGAAAGTAAAATTAAATTTTTATGAACGTTTGAAGTTAATTTTTTACAAGATTGATATTCACTAGATTTCTCATGTAGGCAATTTCTTATTTTGGGGTAATTTTTTTGTTTTTTTTGCATTTTTAGAGCATTTTTTGACGGTTTAAATGCATTTTTTAATTTTTTAGGACATTTTTAACCTATTTGTCGTATTATGACTAAGAAAATTGACCTCATTGAAATATAAGTACTACATAGTAATATAATACTACGTAATAAAAATTATTTTCATTTTGAACTATTTGAACTAATTTAACATCAGGTTTTCCGGTTTTTACAACCTTTATGTCACACCATCCAATTAGCCGATATTATCGGATTATTTTCTTATCGAGCGATAATATTATATCGGTGGTGCGTGTGGCCGATTGTCGGACGCTTTCAGTCGTGTTGCGTATTACGTCGAAGGTACTTACTTTGTTCCTCATTTTTTAATAATAATTAAATTTGAATTTATTTAATAAATAATGCATTTTTTGAAACGTCATTTTTTGATATTTTTAGGGCATTTTTAGAGTTTTTAGGTCATAAATGCATTTTTTGAAAGGGCATTTTTTTGATATTTTTAGGGCATTTAAATCCGAGCCCTAGTGATAAACTATGAGGTGTCACGACCACGGCTATAGTATCTATAGCCAAAGAATAATGCCGTGGTTGCTGTTGACCTCCACAATCGACGGTTTACGCGCCAATTTTTGAACGGAGCATTTTGTTATCATTAATAATTATTATTTGTTACCACGGTCCACGGACTAAGATATATGTTTATTACTTACTTGTTAGGTTATATTTTAATATTTATTGGAATAAGGGATTTATCTAATAATATAAATATAGAAGATATTTTAAATGTATTTGCCGAAAAAGAACGGAGAATTTTGTTAAAATAAATATATTCTAAAAATGTAATACTTTGTATTTTTATATATCCGTAACGATAGTTGCTCAGTGGGTGGGGGATTTTATGGAGAGCGTTTCCCTCCAACATTTGTTTTACTTATATTAAGACCTTTGTGGAGGGGGGCTTGAGTCCCCCCAAAAAATTTAGTCAATTTGCGCCTATGGACTCGTTTATATTTGCATTTTCTATACACGATAACATTTTCAAAATATTTTGATTTATTTTGAACTGTTAAGGGACATTTTCATTTTTCATTTTTTTTTAGTTTTTTTTCTAGAAATATCAATAAAATTTTATTTGTTGGTTAAAAAAATTTGAAAATTTAATAGAAGGCTCCTAGTATATTGTTTCAAAGGCAGATGAAAACTATTAAAAATCGTTATTCACAGTTTTTTTTTATAAGCATTTAAAGTTCAAAAATTGACAAAATATGGAAAAATCACGAAAATTAGCAAATTATTTTGAGTTAAGAATTCGTAAAAATTTTTCTTTTTAAATCTAAGATTTTAAAATGTAATACAAGATTACTCATAAGTTTGTCTACCTTTATCAATAAAAAAATCTCTACCGGACAGTCAAATTAAATTTTTATGAGCGTTTGAAATTCAAATTTTGGATGTTCACTCGATTTCTCATGTAGCGATTTCCTTATTTTGTTGTAATTCAAAAACGAATTACTGTAGATACATGAAAATTTCACTGAATGTTTATATTAGCATTTCCTTAACTTATTATTTTGAATAGTTTTTTCTGTTAAGTTTCTGAACATTTTAGTTTGAAGTCTCTAATGTGGGGTCCTATTGTTTAATTTCTATTTTTTTTTTTTTAAATTTAAGTATAGTGGAAATATTTTTATAGACATGAACATTGATAACCTGCAGGGGCCCTATGAATAATCTTTCTTGAATGAACTAATCATTTTGAATAGTTTTTTCCTGTTTAAGATTCTGGACATTTTATAGTTTGACTCTTTAATGTGTGGTCCTATTGTTTAGTTTCTAATTTTTTTTTTTGTTTTCTAAAATGCATTTGCCTGCAGGTGCCAACACCCCCCTTCAATTTTTTTTTTTTTTATGAACTTAAGTCTACTAGAATTTTTTTTATAGACATGAACATTGATAACCTGCAGGGGCCCTATGAATAATCTTTCTTTAATGAACTAATCATTTTGAATGGTTTTTTCTGTTTAAGATTCTGGACATTTTATAGTTTGACTCTTTTATGTGTGGTCCTATTGTTTAATTTCTAATTTTTTTTTTTTTGTTTTCTAAAACGCACTTGCCTTCGGGCGCCAACACCCCCGTTCAATTTTTTTTTTTTAGTTATTTAACTAGTTTTATATTTTGTTACACGTATATAGTTTACACGTTTTTATTTTTTTATATAAAATATAACATAATATTCAAGTTTAAACACTGTTTTTGGAATTGTATATTTAACCAAAAGTTATTTTAAAATTCAAGGACGTGTTATCAATATTGATATGAGCAATAACTAATATTGATTTATATAATTATATTCTATATTCGGATCTCACTATAAAATATATATTTGCTACCTATGTAGTACATGTATGTATAATGATGTACCTATTTCAGTGCAAAATCTAATGTGCGGTCAATGGTCATGCCTATAGTTAATATATTATTATTATTGTACAACAACTGTCAAAACTCACATACCTTCAAAAAGTGATTTCCTATACTACAAAAGATAGGTATCAGGTTTTGTTCGGATTAGGATATTACGACTCAAGTCAATAATTATGTAGAAAATATGGTATCGGTACATGCACGGGGGTTTAATGGTTCAAACCAGCTAAACCGAAATGTTTTCAAACAATATTATTTTTGGACATGCAGTATTATATTATTATTTTACCAATGTAAAATACAATTTTGATTTTTTTTAAATATTATTTTGTATCAACTATTTGAGTCAATTTGACTATATTAAGCGTTCTACACAATACACATTATTATTGTTTACAATTCTTGTATGGTTTATAATTTATATAACCGTCCATATCGTATCCGCCGGTGTTGTTTTATGATTCATTCCGCAGTCATTCGTCGCCTTTATATAGTGCTTGATGGCTTGAATTTTTCTTGGAACATACTCTTGGATACTACTTTTGGATTATACTCTGTATAATCGACCAATGAGGTTTTTATTTAAAATATATATTTTAACGATTTTTAGTCGTTAAATCTGTAAAAGTTGATTATACACTCAACAAAACGAAAAAAAGAAACAATATTTTTTTTTGTTCACAAAATATGTTTATTATAGTAGAAAAGGCCGCAAATTAGAAAAAAAAACCGAAATTTAAATGTGTGAACAACAATTTAGAATTTTGAAACGACTTAAGTTTAAAGAAAAAAAAAATACGACGGACAGGATAGACACAATAAACAAGGGGGGGGAGGATGCGAGATGGCGATTGGTGCAGAAATGCAGTGTTGCTGGCCACTGGTCACCTCTGCACGTTCTCCGACCTGTCCCCGCGGGTTGACGAGTGTCCCTGGCGCGTTTGCTCGGACGCTTGACGACCTTGCCCAGCCGGCGAGGCCATACCGAGAGGGCCACGGGAGCGACCACGGTTGAAGGCGACGGACGGCGGCTAGTGCGCGATGTCTTGCGCGTACCGACGGTCGACGGCGTGACGACTCGGCCGACGGACGGCGAAGACCAAGACGCGGAGCGAGCGAAGTGAGATTCTGTGCTGCGGAACCGGTGGGGACGACCGAAGCGGCCGACGTGGGATTATCGCGGGGCGAAAAGGCGAGAGCCAGCGGACCACAGCGTGATCCTCGACTCTCGGTAATTTTCGCCCTGGCGTCGTCTCTTCGGCCGCCGTGCGCCGCCAGACCCTGAAACGGTTAAGTTTCTGCGAGTCCGGGGCCGCTGACGTCCCCGTGTTCCTAGCACGCGAATCTCCGCACCACTCACCCCGTGCCCAGGTATCCGCCGCTGCCGTCGTACCTAGTCGCCATCGCCGTCGCACCGAGTCGGTGTACCGTCGGGGCGGAATCGTTGCCCGGTACCTCTATACTAGCCGCCGTGCCGTCGCCGTCCACCGTCGCCGTCGCTCCGCGTGACCGTGACTGCGGTCGGGCGCTCGCCAGTCGCCGAGCCGCCAGAGGGTCTCGCGTGTCATCGACGACCGAGCTCGCCACGCCAGCTAACCCGTCGCGCCGCGGGCGCAGGTCGGAGAACGTGCGCGGGTGACTTACCGCCGCGCACCGTCCATGCTCTTTCCCGCATCCTCCCCTCCATTCCGTCGCCGTCTTCCTGTCCGCCGTCTTCGCCCAGCTTCGGACGTCTCCTTATCGGCGGCAGAAGCAGCAAAGGCCGCGGAAGAAGCGCCTCAGGCTCTTCCACCTCTTTGGAGGCGCCTTGCCGTCTTCCCGTACAGTCGTGTCTTGGTCGCCGCTCGGCATTCCTCCACCGTGCGAGGAGACGGTCATCTCGACGCCTTCAGCTGCCGACGCCTCTCCCGCTGCACCTCCGAGAGTCGAGTCTCCGGACTCCGACTCCAGGGTCTGAACGTCACCAGTGGTGGTGACCGTGTCAATGGCAGACAGGATGGGCGCGACCAGACGAACGAGATATTCTTCCGTCTTATCGGCAAGTGCTCCTTCTATTTTGTCCGTAATAATGTCCTCCAACATTTCCATTAATAACACGTTTACCGCGGCGCGGTCGATGTCGCAGTTGTTAGTTGCCATACTTTATATGTTTTGAATAACGAAAATAATTTTTGCGTGTACTTTAGGATTCGATCGAGAATTGGTAATGAGCTAAATAAGAATATTTCAACACATAGACCGATCTCCGAGAAAATCTCCCAGACGACGGTGTGTGTTACTAGCCAGCTAGTATGTTTATCGTTCTGGTCGGCCCGCAGCATTAGAATTTCGAGCGCGTTAACAATAATAATATAATAACAATTTTATTTTATTTGCAAACAATTCCCAACACATTTTTAATTATATAAATACAGTTGTAAGTTTGCTGACCTCCTATAAGCAAAAGCTTGGGTTGAAGGTGAGAGGCTCTCAAATTAGACATCAAATTTAAATTCAAATAATAACAAAAAAGCGGGTAAGTGGATGTCGCTCTGCTGCACAGTAGGTTACAAGTTGGTAACTGTATAATGGGTTGTTTTAAATTTGAATTCAATGATATATCATTGTATACGAAAATGTGAGTGCCTTTGTACTCACGAATGATGTGTAAACATCTTAGCTGTAGTACGACTTTGATTGGGGAATATAATGTCATGGTTTGAGTGGGAATTTGTACGATACAAACACGGTTTCGCGCGTATACGTAAACGAGAATAATAAATAATAATGAATCGGCCGACGACTGTACCAGAGCGCGTTCGCACCTACCAAACTCGTGAAAATAACAAAGAAAATAATAGATATAAGCAACTCGCCTGCAACCATGGTTTATTGGTTCTGCGATTTTAGCGCTATGGTGACGACACACACTCAAGCAGTCACATCTACATGACTTACGCCTGACGCTCGATTCCCCAAGAAGGTCGTACTACAAACCGATAGCATAGATGTTTACAGTGTTTACACATCAAAAAAATTGTGCCTATGTATTTTTAATATTTTTCAACTGGTATTGTAACAATATATCAAGAGCCTTGTATTACATTTTTACACTTTTTGGCCCAACAGATAAAACTTTATTGATATTTATAGAATAAAAAACTAAAAAAATTTAAAACTGAAAATGTCCGTTAACAGTTCAAAATAAATCAAAACATTTTGAAAATATTATCGTGTATAGAAAATGCTAATATAAACATTCAGTCAAAATTTCATGTACCTACGGTCATTTGTTTAAGAGTTGCACCAAAAACCAAAATCGATTTTTTCGAAAACAGATTTTAGTGTAAAAATTCCCGTTTTTCCTTAATTTTTCTTTTGTTTTTCAAGGTGCTTTTGAAAACTACCGGGAAATTTTTACTTTTGACCTCTCAAAGTACTAACTATTGAAGAAAATCTAAGCACTTTTACTGTCCTAAAAGGCGATGACAAGCAAAATAAAAAAAAAATAAAAATAAAAAACACACATCATTGTAAAATCAATACATTATAAATCGTTTCACTCAGAATCTAAAATGTCTATAGTCATAGCCTCAAGTGAGATAAGTGACAGTAAACTGGTACAAAATGTCTCGATGGCAAGATGTACTCTTCAACGGCTGCATACGAATTGCATGCCAAAAAACAAAAATGTCCAAATTGCATGCCGTCTCTTGTAGGGGTTTGTCCAAATTGCGTGCCATCTCTTAGAGGGTTTTGTCCGGATTGCATGCTGTACACCACACGTTTATTTACTATGCACTTAAACAACTTAAACTTTTTTTTGGACTTTCCTAATTTTTTTAAAAAAATGCATGTATAGAAACGCTCTCTTATGTATGGTTGTTACAACTGTTTAGTGCTTAGTTTCTGGATTGAAATATTTTTATATCGGTGTAAATATTTTCCCAAACAGTATAAAATATATAATATATATAATATATATATTGGAGTAATGTAGTGTATTGTGGTCTCGGTCTGTTTCACAACAGATTAATAATATTTTGTTTATTTAAATTGTAATATTGTGTGCCCGAAATGTCAAAAAAAACCACCAAATTTAAAAATAATATTATTTAAAATACACTCACTTGATTACCCTAAACTACAATAGTTTTATTTAACTAATGGACTCGATGAAAAAAAAATAGTTTTATATTTTTATGATTCTTATTCACAGTGCACCTTCTACAATATTTATATGTTTTATTGTAATGTAACAAAATCCCGATCCTCCAGTTGAAAAGTAAGTTATGTATTCGGATATACCCCTCTAAGAGACGGCATGCAATTCGGACAGACCCCTCCAAGAGACGGCATGCAATTCGGACGACCCGATTTATATTTATTTTTTTGGCATGCGATTTGGAGCACCGTCTTCAACATACCGATCGTAAAAATTATTTTTAATTTTGTGTATGTTACCCCCAGTTTTAAAATTAGCACCCGCCACCCTCTAATATTCTTTGAGTTTATGTATCAAAACTTCTCCTAAAATATTCCACATATTTTGATAGTAACGCTATAAGTGTTACTTACGGTTCAGGATATTTTTACCGGTAAACCGGTTATCTTAGACGATATAAATAACCTATAAGAGGGGACTGTGATCTAACTAGGTATTCGGTACCCACTATCCACTGTAAGTTGTTGTATGCAAATGGTTGGGAATAGTCAGTGGTGATCTACTGTCTCCATCTATATATTCGTTGGTACATAACTACGTCTTAAATTACTACATTTTCAACTTTTTTCTTTTAAGTTGTACCAACAATGATTAAAGTATTTACCTATAATCAAACTCATTTTTTTACATTGTTTAATTTATTAATTTTAATATTTAGTTCTAACAATAATATTGACCGTTATAAAGGATATAATATCCTCAAATCACTGTATAAATGTGCCTATTATATAATAATGTAATATAATAAAAAATAAAAATAATATACCTATATTATATGTCATATATAACTATATGACAATATGACTAATATGTAGGTACCTACTAAAACTATAATAATAAAGTATAATAAGGTTAGGTATTAAGTAAGTACGTTATAATATATAGACTTAAATATAACTAAGTATCTTATAGAGTTATACAAATACATTATAGTCCATAGACAAAAATATTATGTCAGTATTAATATTATGTCTTAAATTATTTTGATTTATAAAATATTGTAACATTGAGCATGACGTGATGTTTATCTGTAGCCTCCTCCGCCGACCCCGGAGGTGTACAATATATCGTGGACGTCGCTCGTTAAAAAAAAAAATGATAAAAATATTTCTATATCATACCACACCATGTTTCTCCCACTTAATGAACTAATAGCTTGGTATATCATTTTATATTGAACGTCCGAGGTCCGAACACTAAAAGAAATTATTAACGATTTCAAAGCTATTGTGATTGCTAGTATTTTTTTTAACATTTTTATTTTTTATTTATTTATTTGTACACATGTTCTTGCATTTTAAATGGAAAAAGATAATTCGAAAGGTAAATACGGTTTTGTGACAACAGCTATAAGACAATTTTGTAATTTTGTTGTAGATTCAAAAGTTATGTAGGTACTTAAATCGTTTGGTATTTCAGAAGTCATTGACAGTACGAGTCTTCTCAACCAGCCTGTACATCTGGACAAGGCAATCGAAATGGTCGGTAAGTCAATTCAAAATTAATAAAAAAAAAAAAACAAACTCGTAGGTAATAAACTAATAATAATTACAAGAATCAAACCATTATTACATTATTTTGATTCACACACACAATATTGTGTTACAATAAATTGTGGTGCCAGTAATACATATAGGTAGGTCTCAAGAGTACATCTCACTGATAAGTACCACGGGCTTAGATATCTTAATTCGTAGTCCGTGATAAGTGATAAGTACTCACTAGTGTATAGCTACTTGTGCGTGTTATCTCGAATAGGTACTCAACACATTTTTATAACGACGTATAGTACTGTTTTTTGCCACAATGTTTATTAATATTAGTTATTACCGTATCACGATCACGCACGATGACGCCGCGGCTGTACACAATAATACATATTAATATATAATATAGATAGTTAATAACCTATAAATAGAGTAGATACTCGTACTAAGGTACCAGTGTACCACAAGTTGACGGATATTTTCTAAAAACAATACGCCCGACGATCGTTACACGATATTTGTATTTGCGAAGGATATGAAATCAGGATTCAGGATAATAATCATAATATGTATTTAGGTACATATTATATAAAATATAAATTATAAAATAAAATACAATTTTAAATGTAAATAATAGTGTAGATACCTATACACACTTACTTTTAAAATCTTATCAACAATGTAAAACTATTTGTAAAATGTAGGTAAGTCAATGAAAAACTTGTAGGCAATGACCTTAGAAGTCGAAGCATTTAATCCTGATAAAAAAAATTAATTATATTACATTTTTCTTTTTTTTAAATGATGCATTGTTGCATAATATTATTATCCCACTGCAGGCGGGATATTGCCAGTCGCCGGTGATACTAATAATAATAATAAATATTCAGACTTATTCCAATAACTATATAGTGTAAACCGCCCAACTAGCGAGGCAACAGATGTGCTTATATACGTGTGTCGTGTACCATACTAATATCGCCAGTAACGCCTACACAAATTAAAAATATTATTACACACTTAAAATAATATGCAATATGCATGCGTGTGGTTTGTGTGTATGTGTTTCTGGTGTCGTTTTTTAATAACAATAATATGAATATATGATACGTCATACGTCTAACCTCCGTAAAGTCCGTATAATTTCTAGTATAGTAATATTATTTGCAGTACCTAGATTATTAGATTTAGATGAAATTTATTTAGTACTTAGTAGGTACACGAAATATTATTATGTATCTACCTACATATAATAATATATGTAGGTACGTTTTGTTTAATGTACTAAATATATTAGGTATAATTAATGATATTATTAATTCTTCGTGCATTCCCCTCTAAGAGCATTACAAATTAAATTATGTTATTAGTTTATCACTTTCTTATCGCTTTCAAATTATGAAACATATAGAATATATTATATTTTAATAAAAAAAAGGTATCTATTGCCTATATATGTACCTACATATCGGCTATCACTGTACCATGACGTAGAAAAGATTAATCAAAAATAATAAAATTAACAAAAATAGCAAGAAATATAACATTATATATTATTGTGTACTATATTACGTATTCCAAGACAAAAATTAAAAAACCCAATAAAAATTATTTAACAAATTGTAATAATATTAACTGTTGTGAGATATTGAATACTACTAGACGTCTAAACTTGTCTCTCGAGTTTTAAGTATAGACAGTAAGTAAAAATAAACATTAGTTTCTTAATAGTCAAGAAACACCAAACTACCAATGTGAAACATTTACAATTTACAGGCGTCGTGCTCCGCATCGTGGCGGCGACAGTCGATTGTAAATTGTAACCATCATGGTTACATAAATGTAATATGTATATCTTATATACCCCCCCGCCGAATTTTTCTTTGGATCGTGGCAAAAATAAATCAAATAACGAAATAATTAACAAACTAATTAACACTTTAGTTAATAGGTCTATGGAGGACGGAGGTAACCACTAGCTATAATTATAGGGCTCTTTAAGAAGAGGTAAGGGCTTTTCTTTCCATTTGGAACAATAATATGGAACTTTCCTACTTTACGTCACGTCGTCACACCCCTTTTTAAGGTTTTTTTAGGCAAACTTAAATTCATTTTTTGATGAAAAAATGTTGGTGAAACAGAATTTTCCGCACGAATTTAGTTTCAAAGTTATAGCTAATCGAAGTTTTCATTTTATATATTAATTTATAACCCTTAAATACCCATTATGCTATAATCTTCACTGATTCAACTATTGAGCAGTGGTAACTTTGCATTGATTTTAACTTTGGCTGAGGGAAAAAATATAGTTATAAATTGTTTGAACATTTTAAAATGCTCATAAGTCATAACTCGCTTTAAAATTAAAATATAAAAAAACCCACGAGATTCACTGAATAATATTTTCACTTCTAAATGTTATAATAGCTAGGTTAATTCATTCTAATCATTCTAATAATTATGACAGAGTTAAATGGAATATTCAATAAATCAAAATGTACATTTTGCTATGTTATTCGTTTATAGAAGGGAGACAATACGTATGCGGGTGTAGTGTTCTCTTAGCTAAGTCGCACACCAATGCAGTAAAATAAAACTGCCACGACCCACTGCATGCGGAGCATTTGAAAATCTGGGCTAATGGTCGTAGTAATCTATATATATAAAAATGAATGTATGTCAGTGTGTCTGTGTGTCTGTGTGTCCATGTTACCATGGTTACCAAGGTTGCCATGGTTACTAAGGTTACCAAGATTTCATATCAATCTATGAGGAAATTCTGGAGCGGCAAACGTTTTGCAGAACAAACACCGACGTTTGAAACGTTGAAGAGGTAGAAATTCGTGAGCGCTTGGTATCTTGTTAAACCGCGGTCGTGGTGTATGACATAAAAAGTAAATCGTGATAAGTCGTGATAGTAATAGTGATAACGATCGGCAAAAGTATAAACAAAGGCAACCACGGTTATGGTTACTAGAACGAAACAGACCAAACGCTGGATTAGGGCGTTTACAATGTTTGCAAACGTTTACAGCAACCGTTTAGCAACCGGACGTTCCGAATTTCTCCGTTATCAAACGTTTGCAACGTTTGCCGCTCCAGAATTTCCTCTATATAATATATAAAAATGAATGTATGTCAGTGTGTGTGTGTGTGTGTGTCCATATTACCATGGCAACCATATCTGTATATAAAAAACAGTAAGCTGATTGACTGCTATCAACGCACAGCTCAAACCATTGGACGGATCTGGCTGAAATTTGGCATACAGATAGCTATTATAATATAGACGTGCGCTAAGAAAGGATTTGCCAAAATTCGCATTTTAAATAGGTGCTGAAACAGGGACATTGAGATTCACGATAGAAATTGGAAATTTTATTTTTATTTATTTATAGTTGCCATTGGTTACAGTCTACATTAGAAATTAGCATTTATTTATTGGTTGCCATTGGTTATTCGGGCAGATCAGGTACAAGCTTGCATCAAATCGAATTATTGAACAATGCTTACCAGGGTGGCAGAGTTGCACTTACCGCAGAAAATTACACCCAAAAGGAGTTCAACAATCATAATTTTTTTAAGAGTTGCGATTTTTTACGAGCAACCAAATTTATTATATTAATCCACAGTATTACATCAAAATAAACTTGGTATAACTTTGATACTTTAGAGTTAAATCATACACTTCCGTACAAACAGCACGGGGTCCGCGATCTACCGCAGGTAGATTGCTTACCTGATAATGTACTGCTGCGATTCAGAATTTTTATTCCGGGCAACAGAAAAGTTAAGATAAATCTAGAACATCATACACCGAATATTAAATAACACATTGAACAATGTTTGAGTCATATAGAGTTGGTACATTTAACGGGAAACGAAGTGCACGGGATCAGCTAGTATAATATAAAAATATATATTTAGCAATAAAGACTGACATAGTGACATGTGACACCTGCAAGAATCGTTTTTCGTATACAATTATTTATAATTTTGCTTAAATTTAACAGATCTATTTCAATGACAGAGTTTTTTAGCACACTTTAAAACTACTATTTAGCAGAGAAACTTCCTCGGTTTTTAAAATCTAAAATATGTAATGCTTCTCTAATTAATATTGTATTAAAGACTATAATCTCGGACGTCAACGCCACCAACCACTACAACCAGTGAACACTAAAGTCGTTGTTCAAACCACTACCTGAGCACCTAACTGGCTGACTCTATAGTCTATATCTTATTACGATATATTACGATGAACTTGTGCACTGAGCTCTTATCGACTTAAAGCCAAACGTATCTACGAGTCATGGTCACGGTGATCAACTGAATGTCGTAGTAATAGCCAATAGGCCTGATGACTCCAATGGACAACTAATTATTCTAACGATACCTTTCAGGCCTGGCTGCTAACTGCCAAAAATCACCAGTCGACAGATTTAGTGAGGCCAGCAACCAAACGACCGAACATTATCACAAGTATTATTAATTATTATAGGTAAAGATTAAATCAGACACGTAAATAGCCCGAAAATAGGTGCTTATTTTGGGGTAGGAGGGCGAATAATATTTTTAAGAATTGTCGAGGCTTAAAAAATGTGCTAATTAATTATGTTTTAATATTAATAGTATTTAATAAACAATAAACAATTAACAAAAAACAAATAAATAAGCTAGCGAAAAACCAACGATGTCGACTTGAACAGTTGTACGACAATACTAGTTAGGTATAGTTTAGTTACTATAATACTATAATAAATAAGTAATAAGATGAAATGTTGAATTTGCAAACGCATCGATACCAGCTGCAGTCTACGTTAAACCGAATTGTATCGATACAAATGTTATCTGAGACGTTTCCGGTTTCGTTTGTAATATTTTAATATGCTTACACAGTTTCGATGAGAGACGTGGAATCGGTAAATTGCGTCCTCCAAAAAAAGGTCATAGGACATAGACCATATAGTCATATACTATGAAATATGTCGATGTGGCAACAATAATAAATAATAATAGAGAACAGAGGCACTCCCGGTTCCCGGAATGATAGGTATAAAATATTGTTATACCTAATGTTTTATATCATAATTTAAAGTCGATACCAAATAAAATTATGAAAATTTTAGAGGCTAACTATATGGAGAGGGATAAGCCCGTTAGCCCCCTCCCCCTTGGCTGTGCCATTGATTATTTCCAGCGCTTATCATGGTGGCATCCTATCCTAGTACACTCTACAATATACTTATGTCGGAACGTTCATTCCATGACCAGAGACCATGGTTGTAGTCTAAGGTATCCTGTTTAAGAGATTATTGACTTGTGAGGGAATTAAGACTTAAGAGTGCATCCCATTGTACTACCTATGTGAAATAAAGATCAGCAGTACCTATACAATAGGTATTCCATGTCTTCGTATATCTATGTGTTCAATATGTGTTATATATGGATGACCATAATATCTATGTCATCTATGTTAAAATAAATAATAACACATTTTTATACCAACAGGATTTGGATATTTTCATTATTACATACTATTCATATGTGGATCGCTTTACACAGCAGTTGCCTTTAGTGTGACATCAGTATCATTTATTATACCATCAGCTCAATGTGATTTTCAAATGACTTCTTCTCACAAAGGCCTTCTAAATGGAGCAATGATGATAGGTAAATATTTAATATAAAATTTATCAAATTTATCCAATGGACAATAATAATGTTTTTATTCTATTTTAGGAATGTTAATGGGATCCTTTATTTGGGGTTATGTGGCAGACACCAAGGGCCGAAGATTTACTTTGATAATATGTATGATGATGGATGGTTTCTTTAACATCTTGTCTAGTGTGTCGCAGGTGTATTCAATATTTATATTCTGTAGACTTTTAAGTGGATTTGGGTATACCAAATATATTGTTAAACAATTTTAAAATTTTTTATAGATAAATTATTAAAATATTATTGTTATAGAGTATCCGGTTCAACAACTCTCTTTTCATACCTTGTGGAGTTTCTTAATATCAAATATCGAGAAAAATTTTTATCTTGGATGGAAATGTTCTGGACAAGTGGCATAATATTGCTTCCATGTAAGAATTTATTATTTGTTATTCATGTAATTGTTATCTCGTAATTACAGTGTTCTAAACAACGAATGGTATAGTAGGTAGGTACTGAAATGGGACCATTTATTGTATAAGTTACTCTTTTATCTACTATGAATTAGTATTTTTCCCAAAATTATTACCATTAAAGTTATCTAAATCAAACCCCCTCCCTATATAAGCGGATATGTGGTTACTGGTGACATCTTAATAGATACCTATAGGTACCCATCATTATATTTATCATTTTTTGTACTTAATCATATCATAACTATAGATATATTGTTGCAATGTGGTAATTGAAAACATTAACATAATAAATAAAATAACCTACAATTCGTATTAGCCATTAGGTCTTATTAGTTTTTAGTGATAGTTTATCTATATTTATCTGAATTAGCTGATTGGCAATTAGAAATTTTCTACTTTCTGCATAATCTAATTAATCATACAATTTAAATAGTATTATATTTATATATTTTTGATTTCAGGTGTAGCATGGTTAATTATACCACAGACATTTAGAATCGAAAACGAATACATATTGTTTAAATCATGGAATCTTTTTGTAATTGTGTGTTCACTTCCGAGTATAACATTAGCATTTTTAATAATGAAAATGCCTGAAAGTCCAAAGTTTTTACTCGCTCAGGGTAAACACAAAGAAACAATAAATTGCTTAAAATTTGTTCACAGATGGAATAGTAACTCAAATGATAAATTTCCCGTAAGCTTAAATTGCAATATTTCCTTGGTGTATCGTGTATAATTACATCTAAATACATCTCAATAACTTAGAGTTCAATGTACATTATACATATTATTTACAGTTTATTCTGTTGGGTTTTTTAGGTGACTTCAATAATTATGCCAAGTTCTAATGACAAATCAAATAATGGTTTCTTTGAAGGGCTTTATGAAAGTACTATAGATTTGTTTACATCAAAATTCAAAATTATAGCTATAGTTACATGCATTATACACTTTTGTGCTACTACCAGGTAACAATTGGGACATATTAATATATTATATACCTATTATACATTTATACCTATATGAATTATGAATAACTATAAAAATTTAACAAAAATCACGTGTTCAGAACTTGCTAACTCTATGCTATATTATGTGCAGTTACTATATGTTAATACTGTGGTTCCCGGAATTGATGAATAGATTTCGTTGGTATGAAACATATTCAAATATCCAAAATAAAACAACCATGTGTGAAATTGTATCCATGTACGTAGTTGAACCAGAAGTGAAAGATGTAAAGTGTGATGATCATATTGACTATTCCGTGTATATGAACATAATGATCATTGGCATTGCTTGCATACCTACGAGTCTCGTTGTACCACTATTTATCAATAAACTTGGACTCAGATTTTTTACAGGTTATTGAACATTTTAAATTTGTAGTCATATATTATAATATAAGTGTTTAATTGTATTAATGGTGTACAGTCAGCTATCAATTACCATATTGTATAATGACTAAAAAGTCATTACCCGAATTAAAAAGGGTCAGTGGAGTGGGGGCATGATACCTGGCCCAATAGATTTAAGGGGCCCCCCTTTTTCCACTTTTTTATGTAATTTCATAATCAAAAGAAATTTCAAAAAAACAATATAAAAATCTTTGTACTATGAAAAATAATAAAATAATAAATTCGTAATTAATTGATACTTTCAATTAATATGGTAAAGCTTCTAATAAGTATGTATTATTTTATTACAAAAATTTCAAATTTGTATGTTGTTACCTATTGGTTTTTAAACACATGCATGATAAATTGATAACTAAATACTTATTTTGCTAGTCTTATTGATTAACTTATTTTTAAATTGTGTACACAATTGTATATAGGTAGGTTTAACCGTATAAAAAATTAGCTATTAAAATAAATTTTAGAAGTGATGAATGGGGATAAAGTATTAAAGTTGAGAGGGACCCATGAACCCATTTAATCCAGGCTTAATAATGTCACTAAGGGCCGTTCTTACAATGTCCGGTAAAGTGGCGGTTAACGCTAACCGACTGATAACAGATTTTATTACCGGCAGAATTCTTCCGGTTAAGTGTCGGTTAACTTTAACCGGACATCGTAAGAACGGCCCTAAGTGTAAGTTGTAACGACTTGTTATGTTAGTTGTTAAACAATGCAAATGTCAAATATCAACAAAAAGTACTAATTTAGTGTATACTGTATCTATACAATTTAGTAAATTAAAATAACATCGAAATAAATGACGAAATTGGTTATTTAATATCAGTCTGATTATCAGGTATCAATGTTACTATAATATGTAATATATTATTTAATAATCATAAAATAAATTACATATTATAACAACATTCATATCAAAAATACATAATAGAGTCTGCGTGAGTCATGGAATGTATTGGTTTTAAAAATATGTTTTTTTCTTTGTTCAATTGTTTTAAAAGTTTCAAGTAACAGTATCAATTAGAACTTGAGACTAATTGGTATTTTGAAGTATTTTATTTTTATTTTCCCAGAAGTTTCTATAAACCAAAAAAACATTAAGTAAAGTGTTGAAGAAATTAAGAAATGTAACCAAGAATCCCTTGTCTTTAGGATGCAATAATTTATTGTTTTAAAATTGCATATCACAACAATCCATTATCCTATGACAAAACGACCCACATAAGACAAATAAATACCCAACACCTGGATTTTATAGACTATCCAGATTTTATATTAATATAAGTTTTATAATAAAAAATTTCTATATTATTCATGGTGAATTAAAATTTTTATTGTTTTTGAATATTAAATTTGGGGATATTATTTGCAGAAAGATTACACCAAATAAATTCTTGGACATACATCTAGTTTTGATTCAGACATCTCATTTTATTTACTTAACACAAATGATATATTAAACAATAAGTGTTTGAATTGGAAAAAAGTTAGAGGATGTGAAAATGTGTTCTATACTTCTATAAGTCTATAGCATCCTACATAAATTGATTTATTACTTACCTATATGACACTACAAAAGGTTAGAATAAGTAAAATATTTAAAATATTTTTAAATAATATAATAATAAGAATATCTGACAGTATTCACCTATTATATGATATAAATTCATTCGTGTTAAGTATTCGAATACTTTTTTTGTATTTCAAAATTTCAAATACTTTTTTTATTCTAATGGTCTACTCTAAATTCCAATTACCAAAATTTCGGAATGTACTATTTTAAATTTTGTTTCTAAAATATTATTTTATAATGGTTTATAAATAAGGTTTCGTCAAAATACAAGCAGATAACAGAATGACTGGACACTAAAATCCCCGTTGGCTCCATATCCCATATACCATATCATACAAGACACTGACCACTACTGGTTGCATTGGTTTTTATCTCGAATCATTAAATAGTCTTTCTAATTATTTAATGGGTGGTAGTAGTTAATAATTTTAATATAAGATATTAGTTATTGAACTAAAAAAAAGTATTTGTTTAAGAATTTTGAATACCTTTAAAAGGTATTTGTATTTATATTTAAATACTTTTAAAAGAAAGTATTTGAATACGTATTTCAAATACAAATATTACACCAAGTTAAATACGTATTCTGAATACATTTGAAAAGTATACTTAACTATACTGCATAAATGCATAACGTGTATGATAAATATAAAATAAGTAAACATTTTTATTTTAAACTTATAGTTTTGAGTTTCTTTGGATCCAGTATTTCTGCAGCATGGTTGTATTTTATTACTTCTTCAATGGAGAATATTATATTATCTTCAATATTTGAAGCTTTTTCTAGTATTGGTATTAGCCTAACATATTGCATTACTGTTGAGTTATTTCCAACTCAATACAGGTAAAGTTAACATGAAACTATTTATAAAATATTATTCTAACCACGAACATATAATATATTCTAACAATATGTAATGTGTATTTTAAATTGTATGTTGTTTTTTTTAAGGGGCAAGGCTGCGTCTATAGGTACTATGTTTGGCAAAATAGGTGCACTTTTGGGCAACATTCTCATTGGAATTTTTATTGATGCTCACTGTATAGTTCCGATATTTGTATCAAGCTCATTTTTGATAAGTGAGTACAAATTTTGTATAGTCATTGACAGGGCTAGGATTTGTATGCAATAAAAAATTGTAAAATATGCATTTTATTTACCAAAATAGGTAAATATTTTTAGAAGATAGACACAAAAATATAGTTACAAAAATAATATTTATTTATTGAAATACATCAATGCTGTTTGTCTTTATATGATATAATTGAAAAATAAAATAAAATAAAATAATTTAGAAATAAAATTTATAATTCACATTCACTAAGTGTGTTACATATGTGTCACACATATTTTTTTAAATTTTCGAAAATGAATGATCGGTGATTGGATAGTAGTATGACTGAAGCTATAAAAATAAAATTTATGTTTGACAAAAAAACCAAGTTTTATGAAATATACTATAAAACATGCCTTATTCGCATTCTTATAATCGAAATATACAATAATATTTATTTTATTCAATATATGCAACAATATGTATTATATAAAAAATATGCAAAAACATGCAAAATAAAAATACCACCATTTATCTCATCATGAGGTGATTCGTGGATATTACTGACAAAATCAATTATCTGAAGTCTCAAAAAAAAAACATGCTGTTGCATATAAATCCTAGCCCTGGTCATCAATAATTTAATTTAAGTATGTATTAATCTTAAAATTAATAAAAACAGGTAGGTAGTATACACATTACACATTTGAACAATAAATCATACCTACCTATTAACTGGTCTACTATATTATCTAAACTTTAAATTGATTTAGTTTTTAAACTTTAAAAAAATTTAATTTGTGAATTATTTGAATAAATTAGTTAGGTATATAATATAGACATATAGTTGTAACCTATCTACTTTTACATAATATTTACTGTTTAGTTTCAGCTTTCTTAGTAATTACATTACCAAAAACCGGAAGAACCAACATAGTAACTGACGGAGTAATTTAGAAATAATTATATCCTTAGGGCTTGGTGTACCTACAACTATATAATTGTATAAAAATGTAATTTGTAAACATCAATATTTAATTTTAGATTCTAAGCATATCGATCAGTGTAGTTTATTTTTATACTTTTAAATGTAAATCTGTCTAGATCAGAATAAATATGGCGGATTGTAAAGTTATATTTTAAGCAAACATAATACTATAGGTAATTTTAATCAATATAAAATATTAAAATTCCTATTTTTCTGCCATGAAAAATTATTTGTATTTTAATTTCAATTATTTTATGGCATATTTCATTGTATTTGACTATGGTTTTTTTATTTAACTATATAAACATCCTCTTTTTCATTTGTTTTTTTTTTCAATTGCATTTTAAAACAAAAGTTATGCCACCTGTCCTATGGTGAAGTGACCGGCCGACGTCATTATATTATAATAGGTATAAATGTATAATTAACTATATTCATCGTGGCTTATACTTACTGTCTAATATTTTATATTTTTATGTATCAATCAAATTAGGTTTCAACCTTGAATTTATATCAGTGTCATATTTTCGAATTTAAAGTAATACATGGCTGTCGAATGTCGTGGTCATCAAATATATTTACAACAAAATTAAAGTAGTATATAGAAATCAATGATTATCATTACTGTAGAAGATTACGACAATTAGTTTGATAAGGCTATAAAACCAATATTATATATATATTATATAATATTGCCTAGGTATATCCTATTACATAACAGAACATATCCAGCACTAGACTATACTTAAGTGGTAAGTGCAAATTACGACGTAAAAGTTAAAAGCGTATAATATGAGAACCACTTGTTAAATAATAATATTTTACCGTTTACTGAGCCAATTCAAATATACATTGTTCGGGAGCCAATTCAAGTATTGACTTCATATTTACCAAACATTGGGAGCCAACTCAATGGTCAGCGGTGCAACTCAGGTTAAATCTCTGGAGGGGGGGGGGCTAAAGCTTACCTAACTGAACTATTAATTTAAAATAACCCATAAGGGCCTTATATATTATCTAATTATAAATATAGGATTTAAATAAATAAAATATGGAAATAAGTTGTGATATTAATATCTTGTAAGTATTCTTATTTCTTGTTATCCTAATTCCTAATCATACAATTTATGCTGACATCCAATTTGGTATAAGATATGTATTTGAGTAATGTGTAGGTACTATAGGTACCTTATGTCCATATACAATATAGGTAACTACATATTATATTATGTATAATTATGTCGAATTGACGATTTCAACGTGATCTTGTTGTGTATCCGTGCTCCGTACGCTTATTAGTGATGTATTGGAACGATAGATCGCGCAAGTGTTATATATTATGTCCAATGACCACATTTTTGACAAAAAGATTAATGCTGGATTGCACAAAACATTTAATGTATCAATAGTTAAACAAGATTTACTGGCCCGTGATTGGTCCATTAAATTTTTTATGCAACCCAGCAGTAACATCATTGATTATAAATACTAGTATTTATAATATGCACATGGGAATTAGACGTTACAGCAGGGGAAGTCGAGTCCTATGACTTATTATACCCAGTGATGTATTGGTAATTTTTTTCTAGGGTATACGCTTAGCACATAAGCTCAAAAAAAAATTTTTCTAAACAAACAAAAAATTAACTTATGGTGGGTCGTGCGGTATACCACCGCGCCTTTATATGGCGATTTATTTACCTAGCCCCCCCCCCCCCCAGAAAAAGGATTTTAGACATATTGCATCAGGATGAGATGGAGTTACAGTGCTTAAAAAGTTCCTTTAAAAAAGGAACTAAATCCTTTACCATTCCTGCCTTGAAGATAGGAATTAGTTCCTTTCCTCGTCCCTTTTTAATGTGACTTAAAATAAAAAAACATAGGTACATCGCACATGTTTATACTATAATTGTTTTAATTTTAAAATTTTAAACATAACACATTGTTATTTAGACATTTAGTAATAGTTTTAACTTATATATTTAATAAGCTGTATAAATATCTCTGCTACAGAAATACAGAATTTATATTTTGTAAACATTATCAATAATATCGTATACATGTTTATTTTTATAGCTCTTCATATTAGTTACTAAATTTTAATAGAAGCTATACATTTTTTTCCTTTTAGTTTTAAAAATGATTTAATTACTTTTATTTAAAAATAAATGAACGAAGAAAGGAACGAAAAAAATCGTTCATGTTCCTCTAAAAAGTGAACGAAATTTCAGTACGTTGCTAAACATGAAAAAGGAACTACGTTCCCGATAAGTTCCTAAAAATGGAACGAAATCAAAAGAACGGATTCCTTTGAACGAGTTTATTCCAAGCACTGAGTTAAAACTTACTTTTTGTTACATATTTTCGTTCTGTTTGCTATGTAAACAGTAAAAAAAAATTGATCTAATACATTTTTCTAACGATTATTATTATAAGACAATTGGTAATTAAATAAAATCTTTTTTACTAAGAATATATTCTGAATAGTAATATATTACATAATTTCATAAATATAAAATAATTGACTGACTATAGAATCTGAAAATCCTTATCAATGTCGCTGTTTTCTACCAAATCTAACTGATTGTGATAAGGCATCTGTGAATAAGTGTTTTTTTTTTGAAGCCGCTGTCGATACAATAAATACAATATCATTCTTATAATCAGCAGTCTCTCAAGTCAACCATAACTATCCAGATAATATTATAAAAATATCTGTGGACTGTGTCCATTACGTTGATAGTTTAAAATAATTGTATCCATAGCCGTGATTATAATTGTGAATATATGCATTTGATATTGATATGATGGTTATTAGTCGATTATCATTAAAAAAAATTTGATAATTTTCCATCGTTGAAAATAAAGATAAAAATATTGTTTTGGAAGCAATTACTATTTTATTTTACTTAAGTTTTTTGAAGGTATACGTGGGTATACGCACGTATACTTGCGTATCTCTAGTAATTTTACAGGGTATACGCTAAATCAGTAAACTGGTGATAGGGTATACGTCGTATACCCGCGTATACCCTCCAAAACGCCACTGATTATACCCATGTATGAGTAGTTAATTTTTGAATTAATCTTTAAACATATTAAACAATATACACAATAAGAAATAAATCATCGTAGTAAAATTCAAAATAATATTGCTGGCTAAGGGAATGCGCAAAGGCTCGATTGAAATTGAAATTTTTTTCACCTAACAAAATATGCGTTAATAATTAATATATTACGTATTAAATATTTTAATATGAACAATAGCAATTTGGTAAATATCCATTATACATTTTTGGATTTCAGATGTATGTTATATAAAACGAAACACATTTTTGTCGAATCAGATTTTGAATAATATGCTGCAGCTTCCTAAGAAATATGTAAATGCATGAAGTCAGAAGTTCCTAGTTATATGGGGGACAATAAGTTTTACAGCTGAAGGTAGAGATTTTGACACAACTGTAGGGGGAGGGTATTTAGAACCATGACACAAAAAAAACAAATGAAAAATTGTTCACATCCTCTTAGATTATACGTAGATTAATAAGTTTTATTCTTGTTATTTTTTAGGACTTTTATGTTATTTATTAACTAATTAACTGTTAATAATAACTGCCATAAATTATTATGTTTAATATTTACATATTAAAGGGAATTAACCAAATGTGGATTGGAATGTCTATACCATGGCGCACTCGTCGCACTCTATCTCAACCGTTAAACCAACACCGACCACCGAATCCTAATAAGCTCTGATACTGGGACACTGGGTATCTGATGCTAGGTAGGAACTAGTTTACTAATGTATGTAAGTAGTTATAGGTATAAAAAAAAACATAATTTTTCATTCTTTATGTGTACGAATTATGATTTATTAAGACATTTATAATTAATAATAATTAGCAGGCTGTATAAATTATTTTATTAATTTGAATATTTAAAAAAAAGAGTAAAAGTGTATTCAATAGGTATGTATGCACATGCGATGATACAAAATGCAAATATTGTATCCGTGAATATAATTTTTTATTAAGTTAAAAATAATACGCACCGGCTACTCCACGCTTATTATCTACAAAAACGGAAACTGTATGCTATGCGTATAGCGTATTGTTATATCCATGTAGGTAAAAATGTTCAATTAAAATTTCATAATTTTTTGTTTTACAATCTAAATTAATTTTAGTAATTTTTTCCCACAGGTCTGATACTTTGATGTAGATATAGTATACCTGTATGAATATTGTATGTGATTGTATCGGGTATGAGTACAGAGTACTTAATAAATTATTTTATACTTATTTCTAGTTCTTAATGAAACATTATAATATCATGTTAAATAGGATTCTTAATTATTATTTTTTTATAAATCTTATATTATTCTACAATTTGTGTAGTCTACTTTTACACATAAACATTCTTACTCTAGTCTTATAGTCTTAGTTTTACATCATTAGTTGTTTTAGTCCTGGTCATTATATTATTATCATTCTGGGGCTTGGGTCAAAAAGAGCCAATCTCAATTTTGTATAATTATCCTTTTCGATTGCGTATTATTTCGGTAGACGTTCTATTTATAGAGAAGATTTATTTATTATTTTATTCATTGATCATTTTATTTATACAATTATACATAACACATAAGTATAGCACGCACTTAAAGTTATATTTCAATAAGAAGGTTTATACGATCTAAGAATACAGGTTTCCCCATACACATTACACAGGTTCTCGACGAAACGCGTTAGGAAGGCATGGTAAGCTAACCAGTTAAAACAACTTTTGTATTTTGGGATTAGTGCATACCAATATTATTGCTCGATACTCATTAGGTACATTTAAGGGTCAGTAAACCAATACTCATTGGATATAATATTATCTTAGTGGCTAAACACGACGGATATTATCCACCACGTTTTTATTTGCGATTGAAAAGGGAAAACGCGGCCAGTTTGCGTTTTTCCGC